ATCCAACTTGTCACTCAGTTTAGTCACTCTCCTTATTTTCTATTATGATAAACAATGACAACTGCTTAGCCAGTGAGCATTTTATGAGACATTCATTTTCAGGCACGGGAGTTGCATTGAACACACATAACACAACACAGGAAGCAACTTATTTTAAACATAATGCTATCCGGCTTCAGAGAGGTTAGATGCCTGGTCTAATGCCATGAATCTGATTAGGATTAGAATCAGCACCTCTACCTCTTACCCCTGCACCAACCTCACGTGCTTCCCTGAAAGAGGGCACGCAGAATAAGCTAGGCATTGATTGATCTCTTAACAGAAGGAAGTACTGGAAGTCTGTATCAATCACTCACACTTTAGTATGATGTATTTCCAGGCTGGTCCTGAAGGTAAAGGAACACCTGGATGCACTAGGAAGGTGCAGCAAGGGCTCCCCCAAGGGGCCAAAGGGAAGCAATACAGTGAACGTCAAAATAACTTCACTCTTGTCACAATTTCTCCCTTCCTTGGGATTCAGTTGTTGAACCCAAGTTCATAGACTTGGGACAAGGCAAAAGATGTAAAATGAAGAAATTCAAATGATAATTATTACTGACACATTTCCAGCTGCAGGGTGCTGTGTGAACACCTGCTCACTCTCCAGGACATGGAGAGAGACAATGAAGATGTGCACAAATAAAAATGTGAAGTAGTGACAACCCCTATTAGGACAAGGACATGGCATGATGGGTAAAGGGTTTCAAGAGTGGCAGAGTGTGGTTACCTCTGGGTTTGGAGGTCATGGGAAGGCCCCCTGAGAACATGACATTGGGTGAGATTTGAATAAAGAGTTGCCAGGTTTGCCCAGATCTGGTCGATGGAAGAACAGTGTCAAACAGGGACAGGATCCAAGGTGAGAAACAAAGTAAAATGAAAACATCGGTCGTAACAGTAGAATAGTAGCAGTAGTGGCTCATGCTCATCATGAAGCACTTATCATGTGACAGATATTGGTATAAATAATTGACACATATATTTATATTCAGCAGATCTTATAAGGTTTTCCATTTTATCAACAAGGAAACTGAGGCATGAAGGTGAACTTGTTTTTCAAGAGCAGATAGGAACCAGAAGGAGAGGTGCTGGGTGGTTAATGATCAGTTCCCAGGGTCCCAGCCATGAATTTCAAAAGACAATAAGAGCCCAGGTCTGAAATTAGAGGTAATGGGCAGCACTTTGCAGATCGAGGATGCAGTTGAGTGGCAGCACAAAAATGATGATGTCATCAGATGAGAGGGCTTAACCTCTACCCTGTGGGTCCCCACTGAGGAAGACTTTGCATTGCACAGAGCACATGGGAGGTCGGCACGACACCACCTACCACCTACCATCTCATCTGGGTTACAAATGACAGCTTTGTAAAAGAGACCCACATGCGGGGGGGGGGGCTTTATTGATAAGCCCACTTCCTGGTCTTCTCACCCTATAAGAATGATACAATAATCTGATCCCAAATTCAGGTAGGTCAGGAAGTCAAATGGTTCATGTCAAAAGATCGTGCTGATGAAAGTGTCACCACCACAAAAATGACATGGTATTGGCCCCCAAAAAGACATATAGACCAATGAATAGAATAGAAGACACAGAAACAAACACACATAAATATAGTTATCTCATCCTAGACAAAGGTGCCATAAACATACATTGGAGAAAAGATAGGCTCTTCAACAAATGGTGCTGGGAAAACTGGAAATCCATTTATAGTAGAATCAATTCTACTATAAGTACAATCAACTCAAGTGGATCAAGGACCTACGCATCAGACCAGAGACCCTGCTCCTACTAGAAGAAAAAGTAGGCCCAATCCTACATCATGCCAGCTTAGGAGCCAACTTCCTTGTTCAGACTCCTAAAGTGCAAGAAGTACAATCAAAACAAAAAAGCTTTTTCACTGCAAAGGAAACAATCAAAAATGTGAAGAGAGAGCCTACAGAATGGGAGAAAATCTTTACCACATGAACCTCAGAGCATTAATCTCTGGTTTATACAAAGAACTCCAAAAACTTGACACCAAAAAATAATCTAATGAATAAATGAGCAAAGGAACTGAATAGGCACTTCACAGAAGAAGAAATACAAATGGTCAACAAATGTATAAAAAAATGTTCAACATCTCTAGCAATTAGAGAAATGCAAATTATAACTACACTGAGATTTTATCTCACTCCAGTCAGAATGGCAATCATCAAGAATACAAGCAACAATAAACATTGACAAGGATGTAGGGAGAAAGTTACCCTCATACATTGCTAATGGGACTACAAATTGGTGAAACCACTATGGAAAGCAGTATGGAGATTCCTTAGAAGACTTGGAAAGGAACCACCATTGAACCAATTATTCCACCCCTTGATATATACCCAAAGGACTTAAAATAAGCATACTACAGTGATGCAGCCACATCAATGTGGCTCAATTCACAGTAACCAAGTTATGGAACCTTCAATGGATGAAAGGATAAAGAAAATGTGGCATACACACAATGGAATATTACTCAGCCATTGAAATCATGGCATTTGCCAGTAAATGGATAGAACTGGAAAATAGCATGCTAGTGAAACAAGCCAATCCCAAAAACCTAAGTTTAAATGTTGTCTCTGATATGTGGATGCTAACCCACAACAAGAGAGGGTGGGTACGGGAAAAATAAAAGTTCATTGGATTAGTCAAAGGGAAATGAAGGGAAGGGAGAGGGGAATAGGATGGATGGTAGAATTAATTCGACATAACTTTCCTGGCCTTGTATTTGAATACACAACCAGGGCAACTCCACATTGTGTACAACCACAAGAAAAGGATCCTAAGTAGAATAATTATATTCCATGTATGTATCATATGCCAAAATGCATTCTACTGTCATCTATATGTAAAAAAGAACAAATAAAAAATAAGAAAGGTGGGTTTGTTCTCCTAAAGACACCACTTTTCCTGCAGGCCCGGTCTCAGTTAAAGAGGTCATCAATCAAGTCAGAGGCCGTGTCCCCTGCCCCCCTGTTCCCAGGGTCTCTCCTGTTGGTTCCAGTCATGAACAGAGCACGTGTCACATTATTGTGTTCCAGGAGCTGAATAGGTATTTGGGGATAGGGAGGGAGGGAAAGAGAAGAAAAAGGAGGAGCGTGGAGGGTGTACATAAATCCAGGAGTGGGTAAACCAGAGCACAGCAAAGGTCCAGGCTGAAAGGGAAGAAGAAGATAACAAAGCCTGCCCCCAAAAGCTCCTGGCTGGTGGGTAAATGGGCACAAGGCAACAACTCAACACGGCACTCGGCTCAGAACACCTCTGACCCCATGCAGCGGCACCCAGAGCCAGCAACAGCTTCTACTGAGGAGGGCAGAAAAGCCCTTTGAGCTGAGTCCTGAAGGCGAGCTGGAGTTGGACACATAGAGGAGCCCATCAGACAAGTCTTGTCAGAGCTCTAGGTGCCACCAGGCTTCTTCTTCCCCCAAAGGCCGAACCCTAGCGATGCTGATGGTGCCCACACCCTTCTGCTCCCTGCACCCACATGCTAGCCAGTTTTTCTGCCTTACAACATGTTCTAGCTTTGTCCCTGACCCTGGTCTCCACTGTCACCACTGCCACTTAGAGTCATCCATGCAAAGCCTCCCGACCAAACCTTTGTTATTATTACAGCATCCTGGTCTCCCTGCCTCCTGATTCTCCTCACTCCAATCTATCCATTCCCAACGACCACCACCACCTCCACTCCGCCATTTCTGAGCCATTTTCAAAAAATCTGCCTAGCTAATGATGACCCAAGGAATCTGAGGCTCACTTCAGCTAGAACTCAAGGGCCCACCAAAAGACAACTTACAGAGGAGACTGACTACAAAGGTCAGAGTCCCGAAGAACAGGGTCATAGCTACGCAGGCGATGGAGGCAGCATTCACCCACCCACTCAGCAGTATCACGGGCCAGTTAGTCCAAGTGAGTCTCCGCACGGCATGCAGGGCCAAGAGTGGCCCACAGACTAGACCCGTAGTCTCATGGAGTTTGGAGGATGTGGTGTTGATCAAATAATTATACCAACAAATACATAGTTACAAATTGTAATATGCACACTGAGGAAAACCTGCGTGATGACTGAGGTGGTGACAGTCAGGGATGTCCAAGGATGGGACAGTGGAGCTGAGATGCAGAACTGCACACCCAGCTCCTAATCAATAAAGGGGCTCTCTCCTGGTTCACCTCAAGTGGGACAGCCTCTCAGATGCCAGCAGAATTTTCAAAAAAGTCCTCAATGTGGGTGATGTGAGATTGATAGTTACTGTTTATAACAGGTGACAAGAAGGGATAAAGCTGCAACGATCCCCTGAACCCTTGAGAGGCAATTTTCTTCAATATTTCATGGAGGCCACACCCATTCCTTCATCAAATCTTACCATCTCCTGAGCATAGAATGAAGGAACTGAGACTCAGAGCTATTGAAAAACTTCTCCAAGGTCACACAGTGGGAAGTGTCCTATTTATTATTTTCCATATTTTTATTGGCACATTATAGTCGTACATAATGGTGGGATTTGTTATATAACCGTACATGCACAAAATATAACAATATAATATGGCCAATATCATTCCCCAGTATTTTCCCTTGGGAAGCATCATATTTAAATCCAGGATGTATGATTCCAAATTCCAGCCACACAGCTATCCCTCAACTATATTCTTTGTGGCTCAACACACACACACACACACAAAAAAAAACCCTCACACTCACATGCACATAAACACACAGCCAAAACTGTTCGTGAACACTTGCAATTTCTCCCAATTCTAAATGCACAAAAAATGTAATGCTTTTAAAGATGCCCCACCTCTGAGACCAGAGGAGGAGGAGTGCGGTAGGTGCTGCCTTGGTGACGTATTTAGTCTGTGGCATTGCTCCTCTATACTTCCAGACACCTGGAAGTCTCGTCTGTGCTCTGCGGAGGATAATAGACAATACAGCTGAGGAGTCAAGGTTGAAGCTTTAGACCCTGGAAAACAGGCTTTCACTGTTTATTTCATAAGGTGTCCTTGGCTCCTCCAGGAACCAGGCCAGGGGCTGAGTAGGGATGCTGGAAACACAGTTGGTCCCCTGAGCAACCCATCAGTGTGTGTGCTTTTCTGTCAATGGTTAAAGGTCACTTCCTGAGTTCCAGTGCAGACTCTGTCTATGACCTGAACAGTTCATTTGGTCTTTCTATGCTTCAGTTTCACCACCTGGGAAATGGGAATAAGTGTCACCCAACCATCTTTTCTCAATTAATATGATGATGTTGACCCCCAAATCTCAGTGACTTACCCCAATAAGGGTTTATTTCTCATTCGAAGGACTTCAGGTTGACCGGTCTACTTCAGGCTGCAGGCTAAGTTCATGTCTTTTCCACTGTCTCTCACGTTGGGGTGAAAGGAGCCATTAGCTGGAGGATGATCTTCCTATAACCAAGGAGCCCAAGAGGACTGGCCAAGCACGTGAGCACAGTGGAAAGTTTTGGTTGGACGTAGGATACATTGCATCTGCCCACACCTCAGTAGTCAAAATACATCACATGAACAAATTCCAAGCCTGCGAAGTGAATGTCCCACATGAAAGCCATGGGAAGATTAAGGAGCTGTTTCAGTTGTAAACCTTTATTCCAAAACTTAGCAGCACAAACCAACCTGATTCACTTGCATTTCATTGTTCAGGAATTTGGAAAAGGCTCAACAGGTCAGTTCTCACTTGGGATCGTTCTTGTGATTATAATCAGGTGGAAGCTGGGTTTCAGGCATCTGAAGGCTCCACTGGCCATGGCTGCCACTTAAGGCTGGCAGTCAGCTGGGCTGTCAATCAAAATACCCAGCAGTGCAGTTTTAGGGTATCAGAGTCAGACTTCTGACATGGTGCCCCGCTTCACCCAGAGTGAACATCCCAAGAGACCCAGGCAGAAGCTCCAAGACCTTTTCTGACTTTGCCTTTTAAGTTACATGGCATTAATTCCACTGCATTCTACTGCTTACAAATAACTCGGGAAAGTTGACCCAAATTCAAGGGCAGCAGACATAAAACCCACCTCGAAGGTGCCAAAGACTTTGCAGGCATGGGTCTAAACTATTACAAGAGGCAAATCAAGAAAATAAATAAGTAATATTATCTACCTGCTCCCTTTCAAAACTTGCTGCAGATATGTCTAAAGTACTTAGCACAGTGCATGGTGCAGAAGGCACTTAATAAATGGTAGCCAAACAAGATCATAGGGTCCCTGAGTGGAGATTCCAGGTGAGCCACGTATCTAGCATCATAACTCCGTCAAGGTAGCTGGTCTACCTTGCTGTGGCCAAAGGGAGCAGCAATGGGGCTATTACCTGCAGCTCACCTGCAGGGTGCCAAGCGCTGTGCGGAGACATCTTCATCCAGCGTCTGATGTGATCTCCACAGCTCGTGAGCTTGTGTCATTGTTATTATTCTTCTACTCTGAAAACTCTCACGTCCACCTGTCCAACGTTAGGCTGTTGTAGGAGCACCACAGTGGGAGGGCGTACTTGGATGAGCAGCCAAGCATTCCCCCCACCACCTCACCTCTCCTCCCTGTTCCACGGTCCACATCATGAGAAAGCCCAAGCGATTGGCTTTTCCCTCTGTCACAGCTGTAGTCCTACCGCATGTGTCACTCCGGTCCCTTTCATGTCACTGAGCGCTTCAGATCTCTCTGTGCATCCTGTGCCCAGGTCAGAGCTTGGCCCAGAGGAACGTGAAGGCTTTCCGTTTGTGCTTCACGCCCCTCTCCACCTGGAGGGGCCACATCCGTCGCCCCCTGCACCTCTGCTTCTGGTGGGGTTTGACCAGAGGGGCATCCTGGTGGAGGATCAGAGGAAGAGAGGAGGGTACAGTCAGGGTATTCATTCCCCAGCTGCTTCTCTAAGAGGTCACGGGATCCGGCTGTGCCCCACAGCCAAGGGCCCACTCCCCTGCCCCAGCCTGCTCTCCATAACACTGCCCACCCAGGCTCCCGTGCTTGGGACTTCCTCCTGCTGCCTGCCCGCGGACCTGGGGATCTGAGCCCGGTTTTGCCTTGAGTGTTTTAGGTTCAGCTGGCCTCCGCCGTGCTCGGGCCTTTGTAAGTAGTCTCGTGAACTCTTTCTGAATTGACCTAACTGGGGTGGGCTGGATGCAGCCCAATGACCTTGACTGATCCAGAGCACTCAGGCAACAGTGGCCAGAGGCACATATTTCATGACCATGGACTCACCTCAACACACAGTCTAGGCCAGGAGACCTGGACACCGCGGCAGGGGGGGTAACCAGCCCTTGTCAATGAGCCATTAAACTGTCCCTGGTTCCCACTTGGAGCTGTCAAGCTTCCATCTGAGGCTTCATTAGGGACAGAGCCTTTCTCTCCTGACATATCAGTGACAGAGAGGATTTCAATTAGAGCTGCAAGGGCCCTCGAGGCCCTGACACATCTCACGACTGACAGTCCCACAGCATCCCGAGGCCTGCCAGCCTGCCCCCCGTCCTGTCCCCCTCCCACGAGGCTGGGCGGGCACAGTGAGCCCTTCCCAGGCCTGCAGGCTGCACACAAGGGAACCTCCGGAAGCACCCCTTGGAGGGGTGCCGTTGACGCCAGGTCTCCTTACGGACACAGCCCAACCCCTCCTGTCCCTGCTCGGATCCCCCTGATGACTTCCATTGGCTCCAAAGCTCAAATGCTACCTGAGCCCTACCTGCTCCCCTCCCCCACCCCTAGACTGAGCCGGCGTCTCCTTTTCTACACTCCCAAAGCACATTGCTTTCTCCCTCCTGGCTCTCATCACAAGTGGCTTCAGTATGTCACTTAGATAATCATCTGCATTCTGTTCTCCAGTCAGATCACTCCTTGGCTCAGACTCTCAGCTGGCTTCCCATGTCACTCAAGTAAAGCCGGATTTCACAGTGGTCCCTGAGGCCCTACCCAATCAGGTTTCCATGAGCTCCTGCTTCTTCTTTTTCTTTTACACAACTCAGACTCCCTGGACTCTCTTCAGGGTCTGGAAAACATTAAGCACATCCCTGCCTCAGGGCCTTTACATGTGCTTGCTCCTTTGCCTAGACTGCTGCTACTGTGATTTTCCCTGCTTTCTTGGATGTTTTGGATGTGCTAGTCTTTTAGCTGTAAATTCTTTTAACGTTTGTTTATCATGGACGGTTTTTATTTCATCATCAAATCTAAAGCTTAATTTTGCTTGGTGTAAGACTCTTGGTTGGCATCTATTTTCTTTAAGAGCTTGATATATGTTGTTCCAGCTTTCAGGGTCTGGCTTGAAAAATCTACCATTATCCTAACTGGTTCCCCCCTATATGTAATCTGATTCCTTTCTCTCATGGCTTTTAATATTCTCTCCTTATTCTGTATGTTGGGCATTTTCATTATAATGTGGCTTGGTGTGGCTCTGTTGTGGTTTTGTACATTTGGCGTCCTGTAGGCTTCTTGAATTTGGTTTTCCAATTCATTCTTCCTGTTTGGAAGGTTTTCTGATATTATTTCATTAAAGAGATTGTTCATTCTCCTTTGGTTTGGAACTCTATGACTTCCTCTACCCCAATAACTCTTAAATTTTTTATGCTATCCCATAATTCTTGAATGTTCTGCTCATGGTCTCTTACCATTTTCACTGTGTGGTCTACATTCATTTCAAGACTATATATTTGGTCTTCATTGTCTGATGTCCTGTCTTCCAAGTGGCCTACTCTGTTGGTGATGCTTTCAATTGAACTTTTAATTTAGTTTATTGTTTCTTTCATTTCAAGGATTTCATTTTTGGTATTTTTTTAGAACCTCTATCTCCCTTTTGAAGTGACTTCTACTTCCTGTATTTGTTTATGTAGCTCCTTGTCAAAATGATCTTTTGCTGTCTGTATTTCCTCTCTTCTATTATCCTTCAATTCACAGAACATTTTAATTATGTACATCCTGAACTCCTTCTCTGTAATTTCCTCTGCTGTGGTTGCCATGGATTCTGATAATTGGTATCTTGATTTGTTTGGGGCACTTTCTTCGTGTGTCTTTCCTTCAAGTCTGTGGGTCCAGGGTGTTATCGTTTTTACCCTAGAGGTTTGCAGTGCTCCTGTAGGGTTCCAATACCTCTCCTTTGTGGGAAAGGACAATGTTCACAGATCCCAATATCAGCAGTATATCACCTAGGATCCGCTCGTTGTTATTAAGACATTGACAGTTTAGTCATGATGTGCAGAAATGTTGAATTCGATTATTATCTATAATCTAATCAGTAGGTTTGTAAAAGGGTTTACCGTTTCTGATGGTGGACAATGAACTGGGGTGAGGTGCAGGATGACATGCTGAGGAGGCAGGAGGTGAGGCTGCAGAGTTAATATACCTTAGGAAGTGTGAAGAGAAGAAATCTAATGAAGAGGATCTAAGGAGAAATCTAATGAAGAGGGTTAGTAGCAAAAGAATAGACAGGAAGTAATTTGGGGTAGACAAGTATGTGGGAAGACAGCAGAGTACATAAAACAAACCCACCTATGTATTCAGAAAAATAAAGTTTGTTAAAATAGTGAAAATCAGAGGGGAAAAGAAAGAAAAGTAAAAGAGAAAAAGAAAAGAAGGGTGTATACAACACACCTGTAATACATTATTCAGATGTCCCAGGCCTCAAAATCCTAATTCATGCAAAGTTCTTGGTTTCACTTGCGGTGGGGATGTGAGGGCAGGAGAACAGAGGAGGAGGAGGAGAAAAAGAGAAAAAAAAATTCTCAAAGGAAGAAACCAGGACTGTTGCTAGCTTTAGAGATCAGTATCTTTCCTGCTTCTCTTCTCATCCAATAGGTGGGGTTGTCTGTTGTGAGCTGGTGTCTCCGCCCTCAGGATGGTGAAGGTAACAGGGTGGGAAGGCAGGTCCTGATGCGGGAAGTGGGGAGCAGCACCTGTCAGTCGCTGCAGGGAGCCTGCAACTCAAGGGTCTCTTTTTCGGTCTGCTCCTATGACTTGGTCCTCTCTCCCTCTCTTGCCTGAAGACTTCCCATTTCCTGGTCTCTCTGTTAGTCTCCAAACTTTGCCCCATTTCCCTCTCCCTTAGCAGTTCCCAACTGAGGCACCTCTCTCCCTGGGGCTCCCGTGGGTGGTGCCCTGGTCACACTGCACACCCGCCCCTCTGAGAGCTGTTCTGTGTTGGGCAGCTACTGAGCTGGGTTACCGTCACTGGGGAGAGGGGGCAGTTGGAAACCAGGTACCTGGCCAGCTGGAGTTCCAATCCGGGAGCTGCCCCCACCACATATGGCGAGGAAGGTGAGCCAAGATGGCAATAGTCTGCTTCCAGCGCCGAGGTGTCAGGTGGGGCGGGGGAGCCAGCGATGGCGTTGTGCCCTGTGTTCAGAGATGAGCTCTGTGACACTCAATACTGCAGCTTGGGCTGTCTTCAGGGCCTGTGAGATGCCCCCGGGTACAGGCAGATACCGCATAGGGGACTGTGGTAGTAGCTGTGGAGTTGGGTCGCAGGATGGATGTGACCAGGGGAGCCCCTTGTTGGTAGATGGGGGTCCACAGGGGAGTGGCAGCCTGAGTTTCTGTGGGGAGGTAGCAGCTGAGTGTCCTGCGTGGGAGCCGAGTGCGGTCTGGGAGTCCTGCAGCGGTGCTGATAGGGATCCTGCTAAGGTGCTCGCGAGCCCTGCGTGGGCTTGAACTTCAGGAGTGGGGTGCGGGGAGCCTTGCGTGGGGGCACAGCGCTGGTGATTTCTGCTGGAGAGCAGCTGTAGAGGGGTCCTCTATCACTCTCAGAGAAGCCGTATTCCCACTAGTTGAGACCCTGGTCACACAGTGATACAGAATGCCGCCTCCCTCTGGCCTACCCTCTTGGATTCCCATGTTTTTCATTTTGATGATGTTCGATGTGTCTAATTTTTCTTTTGTTGCTTGTGCTTTGGGCATCCTATCCGAGAACCCATTGCTACATCCAAGGTCATTCCACACAATGAAATGTTATTCAGCCATGAAAAGGAATGAAGTATGGACACATTCTGCAACATGGGTAACTATACAAAGCAAGAGACATCAAAAGATTGACCCAGATGTTTTCTTCTAAGAGTTTTATGGGTCTAGTTCTTATATTCAGGTAGTTGATCCATTTTTAGTTTATTTTTGTATATGGAGTGAGATTGTGCTCTCACTCCAGCTTTCTACAGTGGATATTATCCATTTGCCCCAGAACTATTTGTTGAGGATGAAGACATGTTTCCCCACTGAATGGACTTGGCACCTTCATCAAAACTCAATCAGCCATAAGTTTCTGGGTTTCTTTCTGAACTTAACTGTTCTATCCCATTAGTCTCTATATGTCTCTCCTTATATCAGCATAACACTGTTTTCATTACTTTAACTTTGCAATAAGTTTTTGAAATCAGGAAGTACAAATCCTCCAAATGGTTCCTTTTTAAGATTTCTCTATTCGGGATCTCTTATTATTTTACATAAATATGAGAAACTGTTTTTCCATTCCTGGAAAGAGAAGGCCATTAGAATTTTGATAGGATTTCTATTAAATCAATATATTGATTAATTCTTCCAGTCCAAGAACATGAGATGTCTTTTAATTTATTTTGATTTTTGCTTTCTTTAATTTTTTCAGTAATATTTTGTTTTTATTTTTGCTTTCTTTAATTTTTTCAGTAATATTTTGCATTTTTATTTTTGCTTTCTTTAATTTTTTTCAGTAATATTTTATATTTTTAACTGTACTAGTATTTCACTTCCTTGTTTAAATTTATTGATATGCATTTTATTCTTCTGGATGCTACATAAATATAATTATTTTCTAGTTATCTTTTCAGATTTATATAAGCATTTGGGTTTTTATTTGGGT